TATTAAATGAAGCTCACTGCTTTAGCGATTTCCGCATCTGCGGCCAGATGACTACATCTGTGGTCCTGCTTCTGCGAGAAATCGGACGCACTTGCGAAACTGGCCAAGCGGGTTGCGACCACTTCTGCGGTCTCGAAGCCGCTTCTGCGGTTGGGGAGCCGCTTTTGCAGTTTTGGCCTGGCCTACCCTAGGCCACATCTGCGATAGATGGATCACTTCTGCGGTCTCGCACCTACGGTCGACCAACCGCAGGTGCGGTTATGACAGAAGTAGATGCTTCAGCACTTCTCAAAAATTCCAACTTCATTCGAGCCTCGTCCGATTGACGCTAGGGGCTCCCGAGCCCCGCCTGAACATACCGACAAGTCTGAAATCATGAAACGGACCTACTCGAACCTTCAGAACGCTCGAAACAATGCTAAATCTAAGAATCACCCCCTAAAACCAATTGAATCAAACTTATGAACTTCAAGTTCTTAACTTTCCTCTAACGAGCTGAAACGCCCTTAAACTACTCGGATTGGAACCAAATTTTGCGGGCAAGTCTTAAATGTTATTTTGGACCTATATCGAGCTCCAGAACCAACATACGGTCCCGATACCCATGTGATCAATCATTAGTTAGTTTCTTTAAATCCTTAGAATTTCATTTTGACAATTTTTAATAAAAATTCATTACTCGGGCTAGGGACCTCGGAATTCAATTCCGAGCATACACCCAGGTCCTATATTTTCCTACGGACCCTTAGGGACCGTCAAATCATGAATCTGGGTCTGTTTGCTCAAAATATTGACCAAAGTCAAACTTAGCCCTTCAAGAAAATCTTTAAGAATCAAATGAGCATATTTCACTCCAAACTCTTCCAAGTCCCGAATCAACCATCCCCGCAAGTCGTAAATTAGTTAAAGTAAGTGCAGGAAGTTTTATTTAAGGGAACGAGGTTCTAAAAGGTAAAACGACCGGTCAAGTCGTTACAGCTGGCCTCGTCTTCACGAGAGGCGCCATCACGACCGGGTTCGGGTTTAGGGTCGTGAGAACTTTTCACTTTCCTTCGCTTTAGGTTCTGCTCCAAATGATAGATACAAATTCCATGGTGGCTTTTGGGATATACCTCTGCGATGACATATGCAATAAATTGATGCCTATCTAATAAGAAAATTAAATTCTCACCACTCCCAATTGCATTGCGAAGCTCACTAAAGTACCACTCATAGGAATTGTTATTTTCAAATTCTGCTATTCCAAAGGCTAGTGGGGAAATTTGGTTATTTGCATCATTTGAAACTGAAATCATTAAAACACCACGAAATTTTGACTTCAAAAAAGTTGCATCAACAACAATCACTGGTCTACAATGATTCCAACCAGATATTGATGATCCATATGCATAAAACATATAAGAAACTTGAAAATACAATATAAAACAAGGTTAACAGAAGTTAAGGACAGACATTCCTTAACTTAGACTAACAAGGTCAAAATTTAAGGACATACAGTCCTGAACTTCATGTTACAAGGCCAAAAGTTAAGGACAAGTAGTCCTGAAGTTAGACTAACAAGGTCAAAAGTTAAGGACAGACAGTCCTTAACTTAGAGTTGCAAGTTATAAAGTTAAGGACATGCAGTCCTTAACTTAGAGTTACAAGTTATAAAGTTAAGGACATGAAGTCCTTAACTTTGAGTTAAAAATTCAAAAGTTAAGGACATGGAGTCCTTAACTTAGACTAACAAGGTCAAAAGTTAAGGTCACCATGTCCTTAATTTTATAACTTGCAATTCTAAGTTAAGGACCAATTGTCCTTAACTTTTTGACCGCACACATGAAAGTTAAGGACAACTTGTCCTTAACTTTTTAACTGGTTAAAGACATTATGTCCTAAAGTTTTTAAAGCAGACTAATAAATTCTTTTTTGATTGTTTACTTGTTGTTGTCGTCTATCTTTATATTAGTATAAGTTCCTGGGTTTTTACTTCTCATCATATACAAGTATGAATATAATAATTCATAATTCTCTTAAGGAGTTCCTCTTATTAAAGTGGAAGCACATTGAATAGCACACCACGCTTTGTGATACCCAATGTCTCGTCCATGCAATTTTTGCATTTATGCCATGACAAAAGCTGGTGTAACTTCAAACCTTGGGTCTCGAAGATTGTCGATAATGTAACCACTAATCAACTTTGAAGTTGTATGCCTTTTATCAACTTTCATAGTGTTAACAGAGCAATCATGATTTTTCTCAATCTTTACTATCTTGAACAATGTTGAATCTTTAATTCTAAAAGCACGCACACACCACCCACACCTATCATCATTGCATTTCAACGAATATCTTGTTGAGCTTGATCTAACAACCTTGAATTAAAAATTTCCTTTAATTGCTATATTCAAAAAATAGTTATTTATACTCTTCTTTTTGTCAAATATTGATCCCACTTTTATTTCATCTAACGAAGCATTTTCTCTTAATATCGTAGTTGGGGATTCTTTTTTTTCTTCAAATTTGACCTTCGTCTAGTTAGTTGAGTAGAAGTTTTTTCAGCAACTTCTTCGATTACCGGTGCACTCTCTAAGACTTGAATACCCAAAGCTTGTTCGTTGTTAATCTCTATAATGCTTTGTCCTTCTACTTGTATAGAATCAAATGTTTGAAGCACCTCTTCAGTTATTGGTTGAGCTTCAACCATATCTATTTCCATTATCTGTTGGCATTTGTTTTGATTGTCATGTTGAGTTTCTCTGTTGACATATTCAAAGGTGCTTGTTGATCCAAAAACTCTTTCCGAAATATCAACAATGAAACGACAACCCTTGAAGAGTGAATGACTTTTTAGTAACTCTATACATATGTGAAGATCTAAATCTTTGGATACAAGCATTTCCTTGCTTGTTCCAGGTTGATATCAAACCATATCACCGCTTCAAACTTGTCTCTATCCAATTCAATAACTTCAAAGATCTGTTTAATGAAATCTTCAAACCGAATTGCCTCAGGTACTAGAACAAGCTTTGTTTGATGATCAAGATACTTATAGTCTTCAGTCCATCTACCATTAAAATCAACTATAATGCATATTGTTTCCATTCTGCAAGTCAAGAGAATGGGAAACTCAGAACATATTTTATAGAGCAATCCTTGTATAATTAAAAACAGGTACTATAAGTTCAAGACCAAGTTAAGGATCAAGTGTCCTTAACTTTTGAACTTGAAATTCAAAGTTAAGGACCAAGTGTCCTTAACTTTTTAACTTGGAACTCAAAGTTCAGGACCAAGTGTCCTTAACTTTTGAACTTGGAACTCAAAGTTCAGGACCAAGTGTCCTTAACTTTTGAACTTGGAATTCAAAGTTAAGGACCAAGTGTCCTTAACTTTTGAACTTGAAACTTGAAGTTAAGGACTGCCTGTCCTTAACTTTTTAACTTGTAACTCTAAGTTAAGGACCAAATGTCCTTAATTTTGGAACATGTAAGTCAAAGTTCAGGACCAAGTGTCCTTAACTTTTCAACTTGAAACTCAAACTTCAGGACCAAGTGTCCTTAACTTTTCAACTTGAAACTCAAAGTTCAGGACCAAGAGCCCATTTGGATGGGTTTGTTTTAAGTGACTTCTAAGCCATAAGTTAGGAATTCTAACTTTTGGCGTTTGGCTTGTTTTTGTCATTTTAGCTTAAAAACAAGTGCTTAAAAGTACTTTTTTACTTTATCCAAACACTACAAAATGGCTTAAAAGCGATTTTGGCTTAAAAGCACTTAAAACAAGCTAATCCAAACAGGCTCCAAGTGTCCTTAACTTTTCAACTTGAAACTCAAACTTCAGGACCAAGTGTCCTTAACTTTTTCAAAACAATTTGCAAAACTATGACAGTATGTCCTTAATATTCAGAAGAACAACAAAAAAGTTAAGGACATTGTGTCCTTAACTTTTTCAATTCAATTTGCAAAATCAGGACACTATGTCCTTAATATTAGTAACAACGGTCATGTTAAGGACACAAAATCCTTAACATTATGTGCTCAATTTTTATAGAATTATCACAGGACGTGATGTCCTTAACCTTATCAATCCAGAAATTCAAAAAAAAAAAAATCAAATCCCTAGCATCAAATTCCTAGTAACGAAATAAAAATCAATAGAAACACACAAAAGCATAACTTACTGTAAATTTATGTAGATTTTTGGACGAGAACGTTGAATTCTATAGTTTCAAATCGGAATAGAAGCTTATGCAATTCTATAGTTTGAAATTCGACGATCACAGTCTGTTGCTGCTGATCGTCCAGTCAGGTAAAAGTTAATAAAAATGTAGGTATAAGTTATAGCAGAAGGGTATTTTCGTCCAGTCAGGTAAAAGTTTATTAAACCAGTGGCTAAAGACTAAAGACATTTAAAACACTGGCTTTAAAGTAAAGATATGTGCTCTTAATGGCTATTTGTGCACATCGCCCTTTATTTGATCCTAGTAGGTAATAAACACTTCAGACTCTCGATTGACACTGTATAGCCGTTGTAAAAATAATAGTCGAAAAATGTTTAGCATTTGTATATTTTTGTGTGTATATATATACACACACAAAAATTATACAAACTTTATACACTTTTTTTGCTACCAAATATAAATAATTTCTAACGAGGGGCTTAAAGTGATAATACCCCATCACATAATACCTACTAATGTAATCTATTAGTCCACCAAGCCAAAGAAACTATGATTTCAAGTTCAAAATCCAAATAAAAGCAAAAGAAAGGTCTACTTTTTTGAGAAAATAATATTATATAGGCGTTCTCAAAATAATATATAAAAAGATATTAAATATTTTATATATTTTTTTGAGTACTAAATATTAATAATTTTTAGCGCGGACGAAAAGTAACAAAATCCTTTTTTTTTTTTTTTGGCACAAGGAGAAAGGAAGAAAAAGGCCGAAAAAAAAAATACGAGGCAAAAAAACCACGTGCGTTGTTTAACAAAACGATTTCAATACCTAGAAAATCTGTTTCCTCAGAAGGTATCCATTTATATCCATCCGTACGTGCAAGTGATTGCGGTGGTGCTATCCAAAATTAGGGTTTGTGGAACGCTAACAATCTCGATTTATCTATGTTTTATTGATTTAATTTTTGGAGCTAATTAGTCTGCTGCGTATACAACGACGATATAAATCCAAATAGAGAAAAAAATGGTGGAGAGGAAGCTGTACAAAACGAAACTATGCTTGCTTTATCAAAGAGGCCGTTGTCATCGCCAGAGTTGTTCTTTCGCTCATGGCAATGCGCAGCTCCGTCGCTTCTCCGATTCCCCTGCCGCCGGTAATTTTGTTACACTTCTCCATCACCACTTGTTTAACACTTTAACCATATTTTATTTCATTCCATAAAGGTTGGTATTTTTTCTATTTTTATTGACTATTCTGTATGTGGTTGAACAATATTCCCTCCGTTCCAATTTATCAGGTACGGTTTGATTGGCACGGAGTTTAAGTTTTTTTTTTTTTTGAAACTTGTGGTTTTAAACTAGCATTAGATATTTGTACGAGTGTTAATCAACTCATTGAGGGTAGAAGGGGAATTTTGAAGTTTAATTATTGCTAAATATAGAAAGATGATATTCTTTTTGTGGCAGATCAAGAAGGAAAATTTGCCACATAAATTGGGACAGAGGGGGTGTTTGAGATCAAGTTAAAAAAAGTGAGTCTTTGGAGTTGAAGAATATACTTTAAAACTAGCTTTTGCTGGTTGGTTGAAATTGGTGCTTTCTCTTGTTGATTGTGCCTACTGGTTCATTAATATTAGATTAAAGAGATGAAGAAGCTCATTTTGCATTTTGCTTCATTTGCTGATTCATGTTTGTTTCTTATGGTTAACACTCTTTAGAGTAGTATGTTGTAGAACTGTATATGCTTAATTTCTTTTAAGAGAAACAAAATAGGTGAAAATTACATCGGACATTAGGATATTTTTCTCCCTATTCGTGTCAGTTCCCATTTTGTTTGTCAATCATTTGCAAATAATTGGGAACTAGGAAAAGACTGAAAAATTTAAAATGAATGGAAATACTTGAGTCACCTAATACGGGAGCAGAGACCTGTCCATATCTCGATTCAAATTCTCATTGGATGTATGTAGTTTCTTTTTTGCAATTCTTTTTGTTTTCATTTTATTCCGAAGCTTGTTTGGCACTTCTCTGCTATGCGTTTTGGTTATCATTCAGTTTAAGAGAGCAATGTTACAGAGTTGAACGGAGAAATTTCACACTTCGGGTTATTCTATTGGACAGTGAATAACTGCCTATCAACTAACAGGTTTTAGTATTTCTTATCAGAAAGGAATTTGCTGGTTGCTTTATCTTTGTGCTGCTTATGGTATTTTTCTCAGCATCTTGGTTTATCATATTGCATATTGAAGCAGCAGTGTATGAGGGATCAGAATATGTTTCTCTGGGCATAGTCTCTTCCATATTTATATTTACTCATCTGCCAGCTTGATGAACCAATGAATGCTCTATCCTAGTAAATTCTTCACTCATATATTCCTTGAGAATATGGTGTTCCCTTCTTGTGACGTCTGTTTGAATGAATCTTCAAAGAGACCTCTTGGATGGGTATTTTGGTCCAAGAAGGCTTATTATCCTATATATCATCCAGTGGCTGCTTTAATACTTGTCCATTTGATACGGCTGCAAGCAGAAATCTATAGCAATATTTTTTTTACTGAGCAAGATGCAAGGATGTCTACTAGCTGTTCAGTTGGTTCTATGATATTTGAAGCTTTTCTGGATAAAAGCTCAAAAACTGGTATTCTACATATGTGCATTATATGAGAGCAGTAGTTTCTATGGCTCCTTTTGGAACTCGCAGGAAGGCCGTATAAATATTCACTGTTATGTTTCTCTTGTAGTTCGATGTAATGGTAAGATTAGCTTTATTATTGATTATTGGCGATTTAGTTGGTGCGGATTTCATCAATGTTTTGAATCAACAACTGTCTCCAGTTTAGTGTAAAAATTCAGTGTTCTCATTTCAGAGAGGCGGGATTTTCGCGGTCATGACTTGAGAGAGAAGCTTGATAGAAGGCGTTCTCCGGTGGGCAGATACTCCTCCGATAGAGATGCAAGAGAGAGACATGCATCCCATGGTTAGGCTTGCTTCTTTCACGATCACTTTCCTGTCATTGCTCCAATCCTTATAGACTTATTTAGTCTAGCTCATCTGAAAGGATGAGTTACGTGATTAAGGATATTCATTTCCATGGAAGTGTACTTATGTCACAGGATCATGTGAATATGTTGGCTAGATCTAGCCTTTGGTTCATGGAGATTTTGGAGCTAATACATTCCTCTGGTTTTCTTTCTCGGCCTTCTTTCATGGTCTGTTTCATTCACATAATATTTCCTTCCGATTTATTTTGCAGGGCGCAGTCCTACTGAGTCTCTTGGGAGGAGGAGGTAAGTGTATCAATATCTTGTGCGTACTTTATTTTAGGGCTTAGTCAGACAGGTCCATGTTGACAAATTACATACTCAGGCTTTAGATAGAAACCTTGAACTGAATTCAGCACTTAGAAATGAGCTGGAACCTGATTGAGCTTGAATCCATTTGCTTATGATTAATGTTAGATATGGAAATCGTAATTGCTACTTAAAAAGGTAAAATGGCAACTTATTCTGTGCGTCAGTTAGCTTTGTCTCGGAGGAAATGCTATAATCCAGTTTTGATAACTGTTTTCATACAGTTAATGAGATCACTGTAAAGAGACCTAAGGTTTTATTTTATGAAGGAGAACTCTCTTAGCAGCTTCCTAAGGCAGAATATTTAGCAGTAGAGAGGTTAATTGGATCTTCCTTATTTCTTGGGATTTCTGAACCCCTTCAGAGAGCATCATTGGAGAATGTGATGGTATTTCGTGATAAAGACAATATGCGAGTTTTCATATGATTAATCTATTTTCTTTAATCTTTCTATTATCTTGACCTGATACTTTGTCTATAATCATAATGTCTGACTAATACTAGAAAATTGGTATACTGCAGTGATAGAAAGCGGAAGATGAAACATCATTCGGAAGGTCAAAGTGATTTGTCTGGAAGTTTGAACATGTCGGCTGAGACAGAAGATCATGTGAAGGAGAAAAAACATTTATCTTCCAGTTCCGAAGATGTCCTTCAGGTACAGGGAGTAGATAACTCTAGCTCGCGAATAGCAGAGTTGATCAGCCCTTCCTTTTTTCTGCTCTTTTGGTGGGCTCTGTTTTATACATTTTATATTTGTATCTGATATATATTTTGTTGTGATTTCTGTCTATTTTTCATGTTGCAGCTTAGGCAGTTGCAATCCGAAATTGATATGTTGGATGACCAAAAACGCGAACTGGAGGTTGGTTTCATTTTTCTTGTCCAATCGGAGTATGAAAAACTTATACCTATTTTGTTAATGAATAGTAGTATCACAGCTCAGATGTAACATGTGTCTAAGCATGTACATGTTTGTGTCTCTACGGATAAAATATATATGTTTTTTCCTTTTCACATGTGTATCGCTAAGGTAAGGTTAAGATAATGAAGTAAGTGATTTTACCATCCATGTATCGGGCAATGCTGATATTTCCTTGTTGCTTTGGTCTCGAAGAAATGAAATGTCAAATGTTAACGAGAAGTGGGACTCTTTAATCGGAAGAACTTTAATAAAATTTGATGATCTTAAGGAACTAAGTTCCAATAGACTACTGCTAAACTTGTACTCATTCCTTGTTTGGGGGTATTAGTCTTGGCATCTATTTTCACTTCTTTAGAGTTTGGAACTATGAACATTAGGTAGGGCAGTTTTTAGCTCTTATTTTCTTACGGGCAAAGAAACCCGATGTCAAATAGAGGGTTTGTTAGTAAAGTTGGTTGTTATGTCATATATTAGCTGCTTAAAACGAAAGAGGAAGGGTACTAAGCTGCCAAAGAACACCTTGACAGTCCAGCATGACCCTCTTGGCTTTTGTTTTTTTTTCCTTCTTATATAAGCTATCTTCTCTTTCTCAAACCTTCAATCTTTTGTTCTAACTTATAGCAGTGATATAGATATTAGGAAAGACTTCCTCTTCTATCTTTTTACTCATTTGTCATCAGCTACATATAGAGGCTCTCATTGCCGTTTACTTGCTATATTTCCATATTCCACTCTCTTCTTTCTTCAACAGACTATTCTACTTTCTTTCTCAGTTCCTATTCCCTTTTCTTTAACACATTCTTTTGCTCTTTGCTCTAATATATCAAGTTTATCATCAATACTTTTCAATTTTGGTTGGAACATGGAAGATGTACCTTGAAAAGACAACTCGTCAGGCAGACAGTCTAGCTTCAAAAATTCAGGACCTTGAGATGGAACTTGTCAAGGAAAAAGAGGAATGTAAAAGGTTGTTATCTGTTCAAAATATTTTCACTTTGAGTCTGGATGTACCTTTTCCTTATGTCTGCCCAATCCCTGGCTTTTCCCCCCAGGATTACTTCGAAGATCAAGAAGTTCGTGGAAGCATACAACAATCACTCACGGTTAGAAGGTGAACTAAAAAGGTATTTTAATGATCTCTCTCCTTCTATTGACTCTCTCTCCACCTCCACTTCAGATTCTTGTCATCTAATATGTTAGGTCTATTTCTGTTTCTTTCGCTTTCTACGAACACTCAGTGGAGATAGTGCAATTGTAGGTCAGAAGCTCAGCTTCAAAAGCTCGCTAATAAACTCAGCTCAGATTTGGTCGGGCCCGTTGCAAGTGAAGAGGATTCGGCCATCAATATGAGTGATGGAGGGATGGCTGGTAATCAATTTAGCTCATTGGATGAGCCGCAGAAGAATACTTCACCCACCAAGAAAAGGCCGAGAATTCATCGTGAAGCTGATGAAACCTCAAATCAAGGTAATAAATGACAATTTATGTATAAGAGCGTAGCTTTTCAGACATGAATAAAATAACTGTACTAGTGCATCTTATCATAATCCAGGGCACTTAAGCTGACTTTTCTGATTTATCAACTTTGAGTGTGCTTGCTTATTTATATAATTGGTTTTCCTGAACAAAACTGCCAAAGACCTCAGTGTATGTATCGGTACCCTGTTTTATTGTTCTGTATATATAGTCGAAGTGGCTGTCGCAGCCTTGGGCTGAAGAACAACAACAACAAAAAACCTAGTGATTTCCCACCAGTGGGGTCTGGGAGGGTAGTGTGTGTGCAGGTCTTACCCTATCTTGGGCTGAAATACTTAATAATCAGCATTTGCTTCCTGCTCAGCTTTTACAAATTTCTTTTCTTCCTCATCTCCACAAAAGTCAGTCGACTGAAAATAGTGTTCTTTGCAGTCCTACTTAACCGTGCACAACATATGATTCACAGTCCTCAAAGCTCCCGTCCTTGTGAATATTAGATCCTACGTTATGATGCAAAAGTTTGAATCAGAGTTCATGAAGTCCCTCATTGTGAATTTGGTTTCTCTGACTCGTTTTACCTTTGGCAACTCGCTCTGTAACAGCTTCAACAAAAGGAAAAGGAAATGCTTCGCAGAGGATTGCTTATCCTACTCAGCTGAATAACGAGAAGAAAGAAAACACAGAGTTCAATTGGGAGAATGGGTATAAGACCCTAGTGGGTGAAGAGAAGTCCAAGAAGGGAATAAACTTCTCCAGTGACATGACTTTCCCAAACAAGGTGCTCCTTTTACATAACATTCGTGTAGCCCTGACCCTTTCCCCCAACCAAGAAAGTTAAAGGAAAATTGGCGCAGACACTTAAAAAGAGATAGGATGTCTCCTTTATCTTGGATAATGAATACAATTTCATTTTTACGTGGACAACTTTCTGATGCTCTTTGTTTTGTTGGCTTCTCATTTTGTTCTTTCAAAATTTTCCGTTACATTCATAAGCATCTTTCTAGACGTTCTGAAATCTGCATGTTCGTCATGATAAGTGCTTTACAATAAATTTACAAAAATGATATGGAATGACATGTGATGATTCAGATAATGGGAAGTAAAATGAAGTGACAATATGAGAGGATCACTTGTCAGAAAAGAGAAAGGGAAAAAAATCGTAATTGGCTGAAAAATATGGAGTGTGCATCAGTACTTCCCTCAATATGCATACGACTGAATTTGGCTATCATTTTTCGTTGGAAGAATGCAACTGTGTCCCATTTATTATTTTATTAATTTTGTGACACTATTCTTTTGCCTTTGGCATTTCTAGATTGAAAAGCAAAAGGTGTCTTACAGCTTATCCCTGATGGTAGTTGACCCAATTTCTATGCTGCAAACAACAATGCAAGATATAGCATCTTAGAACATTTTGTTCTCTTTCAATTGCTGTTGTGGAACTGAAAAATGCATTCTTCAAATTCTGCAGCCCAAAGCCTCTGATGTTGCTGTTGTTTTGCCATCAACCAGCATGGCCGCCCATGCAGCGGATGAAGATGTTGAAGTTGTTGAGATGGAGGAAAAAGTTGAAGTAGCTGGAAATGCTACAAGAGCTGGGAAGGGAACTCCTTCTGGTATTCCAGAGTATCCTTTTCTACCACCTCCTCCTCCTCTCCCTCCGGGTGCTTATTTGAAGGTACGATCCAATAGTGAACTACATATGTAGCATGCGAATATATGGACTCGTGAGTTCTTTCTGTTTGAAACATACTTTGTGTAAAACTATCAGTGATTAAAGTTCTCTTTCGTTGGATTATGCAAAATAATAAAGGGGTGAGCAGGAAAACTGCGAGAACGGAAAAAAAGTATACTGTTCCCTCTTGGACTTCCTCCCCACCCCCACCACGAAGAAAAGGGCAGGCATACTGCATTGTAGTCCACAGATTCTTGCCAAAAGCTGCCAGCATTTTCTATACTCTTTAGTGCTTGACTATCTCCTAGTCCTTAATCTAGATACATCTTTTGTCAGGTTGTTTTGGATCTTGCCTTTTGTATATTGTTGTATCCATAAGCCTGAAGTTTTAATCTGAAGTGAGCCACTTGACTTTTGCTTGCAGTATAAGGGTGATACTGCGGAAAGGCTTGATGAAGAGACGGTGGAAGTGGATATTGTTTAGCATAACGATCAATAAGCAGCTGGTGCACAGATGTAGAGGAATAGAGCTAATGAGCTGGAAATGATGATCGGCTTATACATACAAGTTTTCAGGATTTTAAATTTAAGATTATTATCAACAGGAAAAATAACTTAGATAACGCTTTTGAGCTTGATTTAGATGAGGAGAGCAGATTTCTTTTTGTATAGCAGGTTGATAATAATAGTTTAGAGTCTCTTAATCTTCGCCTATGCAGCAAGCTCCTCGAATGTTGCTGGGGTTTGTTGGTTTAAAATGTGCTACTCTGAAGTCTTAACAGGAGACATGCTAAATAATCCCGAAAACGATATACTACTATCTTTCTAGTATAGGTAGGACGAGTGATCAAGTCCGCTTACCTTGTTTTTGAAATATCATTTTGCAAGGAACAAATTAATACTCCCTTAGACCCCCCACCCTCCCCTCACCTTCCTCCCCTCCCTCAATTTATGTCACACTATTTGGGAAGGATAATTCTTGATTAGGGAACAATTTAATCTTCAATAACATGATGTTATAGCCACAGAAATGTCACACTCCAACAATGTTGCTCGGAAGGAGTAACGTAGCATAAACAAATAACATTAACAAATTACATAATTTTGAGAATATCAACTACTGTACCAATTCCATGGGTCTCGGTTCTCGGGGGTTATAGGAGCAAAGAGTTAAGAAGCATAAACTAATCTGGCAAATCAGAATCTGGCTCATATGTTCCTTATTTGTTTTGCTTTGGCTTAATATTGAATACTTGCACAATCATCTATATATACGTATATATGGCAGAAGTTCATATGTATATTTGGATAACACAAAATTCACACGAAAAGAAGGATTATAAATATTATTCCCCCCGTTCCAGTTTATGTGAACCTATTTCCTTTTTGGTCCGTTCCAAAAAAATGACTCCTTTCTAAATTTGGTAACAATTTAGCTTAAGCGTACAATTCTACCCCTAATGAGAAGCTTTTATAACCACACAACTAATCTGAGCCCCTTTTTGACTTGTTTAGGACCACAAATTCTAAAAGTCTTCATTTTTTCTTAAACTCCATGCCCAGTCAAACAGGTTCACATAAATTGAAACGGAGCGAGTATATACTCGACGGAATTCGTCGTTCAAGAGATTTTCATTCAGGCAATAACCGACAAAACTTGAATTAAGTTCGTGCAGAGATTCTGATCTGTCATACTTTTCTTTACCATGCGATGAGCCTACCATGTGGAGAAGTACTTGGATACAATACAGCGCCAGGTTTGACTTAGGAAAGAGTAATACAATACAACCATAAAAGGTGATCTATTCTGAAGATAACATAGTAATATACAAAGTATGCCCCTTGAACCTCAAAACTGAAGCATATACCAGAAAAGGATTTAAATGCGATTAGATATGAACTTTAACAGCCCAAAGTTGAAGAGGAAGGGCGAAAAGACAGACCTAAAATAAACGAAAACATGTTAGAGCTCTTCTGGGTTTGCATCTAAACAGTTCCAAAAAACTGCTCCAAAGATGTTGAACTGAAGACATTCATGGCTGCTCTTTCTGGCTTGGTAGGTGAAATGTGTAGCTCATATTTGATAAATCTCTGCAATCAGTTTGTATTAACACATTAAATATATAAATAAAATAAAACGAACTAGGATCTGCAAAGCCCCACTGCCATTTAAATGACTATATAACATTTGACATTCCAATTCTGTTTTCATCTCACTACCCTAATGGAATGTCCTGTGTAGAAAACAGTGGTCTGAAAATCCAATATCTTATAGGTCTAAACTTGAGTTATAAACAGGCAAGAGACAAGTAACTGTATGTGTTCGTAAAAGACATCCACATTGACAGATTGGAAATTACAAGGCTGAACTTGCACCTTTTCTAAAACGCGAAGAAGAAAGAACATAAAATTGATAAGCAATTTGCTTTGAATCATTATTATTAATATAAGTGTATAACAGACGGTGAAGTTGTTTCCTTGGGAAAAGAGATCTACCTAATGCATGATAGATAAATGGATGGATTCAGTGTTTGATGATACTTCTTACTTTTTCAACTCATGAATTAGTACATTTTCTGACAACTATGCCTCAATCCCAAACAAGTTGGATCCACTACATAAATCCTCACTTCTCCATTTAAGCTCGACTCATGTCATCATCATACCAAATAAAATTAAGAGCGAAAAATAAGTTATATTGAAAAACAAGTAAATATTAGTACGTTTCTGATATATAACAAAAAAAACTAAGATAATGGAACGCTCATGTTATCAGTCAAAAGGAAACAAGGAGTACCGCCAATTGAAAAATGATTTCCGGATTTGTATCTATATGCCAATCAGGTTCCAGTTGTCGGACAAATGATGTTCTCCCATTCTCAGTGCTACAAAAGAGAACCTGCATAACAATCAACTTAGTAATCTATAATGCATACTACAAGAAGAAAGAGGATCTTTAGAAAAATAATAGAGGTTAAAAAGGAAGCTGAGACATCAATTCAACTGTTGCATCTTATATCAAACATTCAAACTTTGACAGCTGGGATACTAAATCAATTTTGTACAACTCAATTAACCAGTCATTACGTTACTCCGCCTGCCATTCATTCAACCACAATTCCCCCCCCCCCCCCCCCCCCC